CCCGGCATTCAAAACTTTTCTGAAAGTGGTCAGCGCCGCTGCTAAGGCGTCGCAAACCTTGCTTGAACTGTTGTTGTAGGCATGGAGGGTCACCTGCTTGAGACATATCTTGCTAGCCCTTCCCCAAACCTGTGAGTTTGCAAACTGCATCCTTCCACGCAGAGACAACGCAGCGGCACTAGAGAGTGTGCCTTCTTTTAATGCTTTGTCGATGCAACCGCTGAGCTCCAAAATCCTCTTCTCCGTGTTTTGCATGAGCACAATTCCCTTCGTCCAGTTATCAAGGGATATCTGCACACCCAGAGCTTTGAAGACGTCATTGAATGGAAGATCTTTGTCACCGCCAGATACCCTCCAACCCAAAAGATCGAAGAAAGTTTGCGCACAACCCGAGACAATCGTAGCACAAGTCTCACGGGAGAGACAGATAAAGTCGTCGAAATAACTCGACCAAATCAGGCCTAACCCCTTCGCACCAAGGTACCAGAGGGAGTGTGCCACTCTCAAGAAGGAATAGACAGACTTTGTGGCCCCGAAGGGCAAGGCCTTCATTTGATAGATTTCAGCCCTGTCGGTGTCTGGGTTGTAGACTGCTATATACGCAGCCCAAGCCGAAGTTTCTGAAACAATCATCTGTCTGTAGGCCGATGCAAGGTCGAATGTCTTTCCCAGCCACCTGTTCGAACGATCACCAATATTGATTTCTCTGAGAAGCGCTGCTACGAAATCAAGGGTGTGGAGATAGGGTGCTGCACCTGCTTGCACGCAGCCATTCACCCCTGAGGCAGAAAAATCATCAATCAGTTCTACTAAGACTTACATTTGCTTTCTATTTAATTTATAAAAGCATATAATTATAACTTAAAATTGCAGACACTCGCGCTTTATTATTATTGTTCTTTTCTCTTGCTGGAATAATTGATCCATGTTGGCCAGGCTGATCCAAATTGTTATTTGGATCTATTTCCCTTGATGATATTTGTCACCCATTCATATTGAAAGGTGATCTTGGCTAAGTGTCACTTAGTGACTGTACGGCTGAAGAAGGAGGAATGCCTTCATATTGCAGAAGTGATCAGGCTTCCGATTGACGCAGTGGAGTGAAACATATTTCCCATGGAAGAACCAGAAAGTAGAAACAAACAGCTTGAGGTAGTGGGTGGGAGGGTTTTTTCAAATAAACGCCCAAGATAAAACGCAAATGTAAGTCTTGGAGCCAAAATGGTTTCCACGAAACAAAATGAAGCCCCGTAAAACAAACATGAAACAAGTACATGTATAGTTCTACTAAGACTTACATTTGCTTTCTATTTAATTTATAAAAGCATATAATTATAACTTAAAATTGCAGACACTCGCGCTTTATTATTATTGTTCTTCTCTCTTGCTGGAATAATTGATCCATGTTGGCCAGGCTGATCCAAATTGTTATTTGGATCTATTTCCCTTGATGATATTTGTCACCCAAGTAAAGTTATCAGGGGAAATCAATCGCCAATATACCCCCTAATGAAAGTGAATGATTTCCAGCAAGAGAAATGAGGTTCAAGGAATTGGTAACTTCCAGGGAATTTTGGTTTCCGTAGGAACTAAGCGAGGGGACGGACTATCCATCCAAAGTTCTGACAGAGGCAAACGGATCCTGTCGGACAGTGAGAAACCTGTGGGACATTCGATTTCAACATTCATACGCGATAATGCATCTGCTTCTTCATTTGCATGACCAGGGACATGGTGTACATCCATCTCGATGCCTGAGAGCGCTGAAAATATACAGATTCTTTCCACAAAATAACAAAGGGGCTTACTGGTGCAAAACAGTTTATTGGTGGATGCTTCCGCACCTGTATTGTCACTCCAGGATGCTAATTTGATCGGCATCCTGGTGGCATGAAAATGTCTGGCGGCCAAATGCAGAATACCCAGTTGTGCAAGCGTTTCCATACAGGTAATGGCTTTCTGGAGATCGGGGTCCAGGTCAATGTGGAGCTCCAAAAAGTCCGCATGAGAATATTTTTCAGAAAACCAGCGACAGTCACCGTTCTTCGCTCGAATAAAACCTCCTATTTGAGTAGAAGAGCCAGCTGCGCATGCATCAGCTGCGACTTCTCCTATCCAAAGATTTTTAGGTCGCATAGGTCTCAGTGGTTGCAGGTGCGAAAACCAGGATTGATACAGTGAAATCATTCGAATTGTATCCGAGGATAAATTTCGTTTGTTGGAGTTCGGGTCACGAATGCGCATCCAAATACGTCGATCAGATAGGCGGAGTTTGGAGAGGTCGTCTAAGGATTCCACTGGTTGATGTCTCACAGATATCAATTTCCCTTGGATAGGAATTGCAGTATTTGGTGGCCGAGTATGAAAAACCAAATCATCAGTAAGGCATGGTGCCACAGCAGGCCAATGATCTCTGTCGATGCTGAAGTGCGTGGCGGGAATGGCATACAAATCTTTGTAAAAATAATGCAGCCAAATACGCATGTAGGGAAAAAGCTGAGTGACCCACATCATGATACCGATGAATTTTTCCAGGTCCTTTCTCGTGGTGCGAGAAGATTGAGAGAGTTGTTGCAAATAGCGTCGAATTTTGTCCAGTTTGTTCATAGGAAGTTCCACAAAGCCTGACGAAAAATGGAATCGCCAACCAATCCATGATATCGTTGATGCTAATTCCAGTTTTTTCCAAGAAATTGGAATGCGACAACATAATACCAAAACACAAAGTAATGCTGCCGTGACCGGCATCATAGATTTGATTTGGTAGAACAAGTAGTCATCGACGAATACAAGGCCACAATGGGGGATCCATATTGTATGGTGCATGAGGCGGAGTAGGTATCCACCTACTCGACTCCACCACGCTGCCGAAAAGGATGCTCCGAAGGGAGCTACCTTGTAAAAATACAAGGCCCCCTCCAGCGTAAATCCGACCAATCCTCTTTCACTTTCTCTAATGACTACACATTTATGGGCTGATTTAATGTCAAGAGACATGGCCATGAAGTCATCTGTGCAACCTCTAAGAGGGTAGCTGCGCAGCACATCCTTTGCGGTCGGCAGCGTTGACCGCTCAGGTATATGGCACCTTGAGTTGAGTCCGCATATACTGTTGTCTACAACGAGGCGTGGTGGTCTGGAGTCGCTAGTAGCAACGCCAAGTTTGCCTAGGGCAACACCAACAGGAAATGCAGCTTGGGCATCAGCGAGATCTCCATCAAATTTGTAAACCCATCCTTTCGATATTTCTTCTTCGACCAGTGACCGCGTGAGTTCCAAATCGCTTTCAGCTGATGCCCAGTTGCACATGTGTGCGGACAACATTGTTGTAGTGTCGATTGGACGATCATTGCGGGGAAAGCATTGTGATAAAGGTATATCATTATTGAATCCAGTGCTGACGCCAGCTTGTAGTTCGCCAAATAATGTGGTGTCCTTGTCACCCATGATTGTGCTCAATGCTGCCAAAATACCCAGTCGCATGGGTTGGTGTTCCCGAATGGACCAGTCTGGAGTCAGCCCATGCGTTCGAATGAAATGATTAAGCTCATTCATAAATGGTTGCAATGTCTCATCAGAAAATGGTGGGTCCGCTGATGGTCCCTGTGCCACGTAGGCTAATAATTGACGATCCAACCGTTGATCCAAAATCATTTGCCGCCATTTAACCCGCAAAGTGTGAAGAGAATCAGTTGCCTGCCGATTACTTTGACTCCAGTCCGGCAGGGAGAAAAGGCCACCACCATCTTCTGAACTTTTGGGAAAGTCATCGTACCCTTTTGTGGGTAAAATTGCATTTGGAAAGGGCCAATCTAAATCTGCAGGGTGATCAGACAAAAGAGGAGCGACAATTTCTGCAAATGCTTCCGCCAAGGAGTCGGGATAACATGCTGTATCTTTGCTCAAAAAATCACCTGCTGCATTATGTCGTCCTGCAATGGAGTCATGGTCAGATTGCGAATGCTGACATATGGAGCCAAGTTTCTGCAGGTCGGAGAAACTTGTAGCAAACATCCAAGCTTTGTGAATGCTCCAGCCAAAAGCACATGCTGGAAGATTAATGCAAAATGCTCCAATAAGAATTAGAAATGCTTGGACCGCTGGCTCCATCCATGACATGGCTGACGGAGGTTGCTCGAGGTGCACGTGTCCTCCTGCCTGAAAGACCAAAATTAAGCATTGAAGACATCGGGAAAGCATTGTATGGCTCTCTTGTACCTTTAGAAGGTCCACTGGTGAGATGCCCGGCACTCCATTCAGGTGGTCCGGTGTTCTCAATGGAGGAGGGCCACCTTTGCGCAATTTGAGTCTGGAGTACTGTCCACAGCTAGGGCTAGCACCCGCATAAGCGACTGAGCCACTGGCGCACAGTCTCAACAATTGTTCATATTCAATGTCATCAAGTAAATTCATCGTTGAGTGAATCAAAATATCAAAGGATAAAACACATTTGCCTCTGCTTAAACATGCTCGAGATAATGGTCTGGTAGCCCCTGCACAGATGTCCAGAAAAATGCGATTTGTTCCCACAGGTTTGACATTGCCTAATGCACTCGACGCCGCAAAATACGGCACTTGTGAAATCTTCTCCTCCGGAGATGGTGTGAAACTCGGCGATGTCGGGTCTGAGTTGACAGTACCCTGAGCTAATGATGTCTGCATCTGAGATGAAACGGTGAGACCTGATGAAGTGGAAACTGCTGCTTTGGGTGCGTCCTGCATGTCCACGTCCACATTGATAGGTTTGCTGTCTTGCAAAGGGAGTCAGTGAGGAACTTGCTTATGCTCCATTGCGCCATGGCTTCCTCCGCATGCATGTCCCGCTGCTGTCGGGTATGCGCACTGGTGACTGAATTTGCAGTCCGATAACTTGCATTTTCCGAGTTGGAAGCGCATGCACAGAGCTTTTGTGGATCCATCTGGATTCCGTGTTTCAGTCACCCATTGTGGTTTCCCTTTTTGTTTCCCTTTTCCTTTGGATTGGGTTTGCTTCCCTTTACCTTTCTGAGAGCTGGTCGAACTGAATGGCGATGATGAAGGCCAAGGTTGTGGCTTGGGCATCTTGGGGCGGAGCTGGAGCAATCCCGCCAAGTCCTGACGTACATGCGTCAATTCATGAAGTGCATCATCCATATTCCAATCACGATCATTCATGAGTTCTGCCATGATACCCCAAATCTGGCGGTCTGCTGCTTGAGCTTCGATCACATTTGCTGTGCGCAAACCTGTCTCTGAGTCCACCTTCTGAGTCAAATAGTGAAGAAACCGATGGGAGTACTGCTTGAGATTTGCTAAGTGTGCACCTTTACACATTGCAATAGCCACATTGTGTAAGTCCATGAGAGTCCTGATGGCATTCAAACCCATCCCTGAGTTGGAGACTTCCAGCGCCGGAGGCTCGTCCAGCAACAACGAATGCAATGCTAATCCTTCCATCTTTGGTTGTTTGGAAGACCTTTGAGCTTGCAGTTCTTCAGATTTTTCCACACTCATGCGGTATTTCCATGGGATCCATGCCCAATGATTTTTCTGGAGCTGATGGTAAGCCAGCGACAATAGCCTGGTGGATGGCATTGTGGCTCCATCCAGAATTTCACTTGGGTAATTCTTCAAAAACTGCTGTTTCAGCTGCTGGATGACCTGGCTATCCAACTTAGGTGCAAACGATTCGCTCCATGAGCTTGTCGAGGTGACGATGTTCGTGGTTGATGCGGCATCCCCTGGTGGTGCCTTAGTATCCTTGGATGCCTGAGTGGAGCAGGCTTTGAACGCAGCTCGCAACTGTGATTTTTCCAAAAGGGACAAGGCCTGTCGTCCAGCCATCATCTCATCTATTGACTTGTCAAAGTCTTGCATGTCCAAGGCGCAACATGCAAATGTAGCTAGTGTCCAGCCGTCAGCCACCAGCTGATTGGCCATCGCTGGATCCACGCCTGCTGTTTGCAGGATATCCTCCAGTTTGGAGTCCATCGCAACGCTGACAGGTCAACCAAGTGAACGCGAGAAAAAATAAAACTGTGAAACGCCGTGAATGCCGCCATATAGGGCATTTGATTATCAAATGCGGGGTGAATATAGGGATACCCATGGGGGGAACCAATAAGGTGTGAAGTGATGAAAATGAGGTGATGAGATGTTCCAATGACATGTACGTGTCTAGAACTTCAAGCTAGTCTGCTACCACTGTTGGTGTTTTTTTTTGCTTCACAAAGGGGCTGCGGAAGGAACTGTTGAATAAGAATTCTGTTGGATAAACTGTCCATGGATGCTCCCAGATTGCGTCTGGGTTAGTTCGTCACGATGGCCATGACTGAGCCGCTGGGCTCCCTTTTTTCCCGTCTTGTGACAGATTGGTTTGTGCCAAGATTGCAGGGGTCGCCAAATTAGCGATCAGCTCAATTGATTGTTACTGGAGGATGCCAACTGAAATCCATCCTTTTTTACATCCTGGGTGGGCACACAGTACGTGGCCTGGAGACAATGCCAATTCATCACGAATTGAAAAGCTTTCAGGGTGAAAACGCCGGCCACATGCTGTGGTCCATTTGAACTCCGGAGGCAAGCCTTCCTCCGTTTGTGGGTTCATCACCACATGCCAAGTCTGCCGAAAAACGCCCATTGCAATTTCATCAAATGAATCCGGTACGGTTTTGGGGGTCTTCTTGGTCACCTTGACTGAAGAAGATGATGATGACTCACTGGAGTCTGACGATGATGAAGAGCTCGTGGATTGATCTTCGTCCCCCGGGTCAAAATGATCAGCCTCGAAAACTGGTGGTTTGTTGAACGCGAAGAATGACCATTTGGGTTCACCTGCCTCTTTTTTGAATTTCTCCAGAGTAAATTCCTGTTCTTGGATAGGAATCTGTCCCCCTCTTCCCAAAGGGGTATGAGGTCGCCATCCTTTCTGAACTGCTGTAATGATTTCCTCTTGCAATTGCAAGGCTCCATTGACATCGTCGCGGGAGTACAGTCGTGTACTCTGCAGGGGATCCTTGTGTTTCCCTTGTAGGCGTCTCAGCTCTGGTGCCAGTTGCAGTTGGTTGGCAAATGACAGCAACGTGCTTTTCAAACCATGCACTGTGTAATGCTGTGCCGTGATTTCCGTATTGATGGGGGATTTTCGCCATGGCAAGGATAAAAAGTATCTGCAGTAATGTAAAGCTTCTGGATAAGTCATAGGGCCCGGACAGTCCTCCTGATCCAGCTGGTCCAAGCTCGGGACGATGAAGTCGATCTCATTCGGTTTCCTGCCAAACTTGAAGTATAAGGAGTCGAGCTCCTGCAGGTACCTATGAACCCAGGTAAACGATCCAGAGGACAAGAATCCCCGACATAACAATCCGAAAGGACATCCTGACTTACATGTCTTGGTCCTATAGGACAACCCCCTCAGTGAGGTTATGTTGTACGCCAGGCTGCTGAGATAAGTACGCTGTAAATCAGCAAATCTCATGCCACTCCAGAGCATGAGTAAAAGACTGCCCAGGCCTAAAACTTCTTGCTGTGTTGCGGAACTCTGAAGCAGCCTCCGTTCCCATTGAATGATAATCAGTAAACTGTATGGGAGCGCTTCTCGGCGATCCGAAATCACATGTTCTTTTGTAAATGAGGAAATGAGTGGTCCTAATGAGACCTGAAAGCATTGGATGCCAAACTGCTTGAATGCCCATCTGACACTCTTGATGCACATGCTGGGGCTGACACGTGGTTCATTCGAACGTCCCGCCAATATGATGTCTGCAAATTGGATTTCTGTCAAGCCCTCCATAGCTACACGCATGGATATGCAAACTGCATAGAACTGCATCAATGTTGACAGATACCTGTAAATGGTTGAGGATGCAAAGCCATCCAAAATGCGTTGGCAATGTTCATCAAAATGAGCACTTGTGGATAATTGTTGAAGCATAGGTGATAAACCCAAAAATGCAGAGACGAACTGAGGCCAGATCGATTGTACTGCTGGGCAAGTGCTGCACGCATTCCCTCTGGATGTTGGCAGTAAACGTCTTTGTTTTGGTCCTTTGGTTTGCAAGTTTAATTTCCTAGTCGAACGACCGGGCAACTTGGTTGGGTCGCTCTGCATTGGTGAAACTGTCATGCTATCTGATGATGCGCTCAATCGCAATGGTGGCCCAGATGATGGCCTGTTTCCACTCCGCATCTGAGGTGCTGGCAACGGTATGCGGTGTGTCGGCATTGGTGCCGATGTCACCGGCACTGATGTCGGTGTTGGACGCTGCAAAGGTTCAGCATATTGTAACTGTGACACGTCCACAAACATGGCATGTGAAACATCACCAAAAGTAGCTTGAGAATTGTTCTGGGAAATCAACTGCATTGGTGCCCTAATCCTGGGTCTAACATGGCTGTCCGGACGTTGCAAAGGTCGAGACTTTGGAGCCGCTGGCAAAAGGTCCCCTGAAGTGGTCCTCGAAGATGTCGCCAATAAAGAAACCTGAAAAGGGGATCGGGTGTGAGACATCCCATCATGGTCATGGCTGCCCTCTGTTATCAGATCCCAGTCATCACAATGCATCTGTCCCATCTTCGGGAAAAGAATCGAATGAGGCAGCTGGAGATGCTGCCGGTGTCAAGGCTTCCGCCACTGATGGGGTGTCCACCCTTCTGAAAATGCTGGTCCAAAAACGCAAAAAAGCTGAAGACAATGAAAAACGCACAATATCCTCTGTAAATGCACCAGATGAATCAGTCAAAAATGACAAAATGCCAGTGAAAAGATGTCGATGTTGAGGTGCTGCAAAAACCTGGTAAAAACGTTCTGAGGGCCCGATGAGTCCACGCCGAGGGTTTCGAACCAGCATTGCCCGACGCCAGCCGGGAGATGTGACTAGGATAACGCAAAATGAAAGTTAGACATGAAGTCTGAAAATTGGTCATGAAAACTGACATGACAATCACCAACAGGAAAAACCAAGGCACAGGTTGGAAAGGTGAAAGCCTGCTGTATAATGTTGTTTCTGTTTTTTTTTCAAATAAACGCCCAAGATAAAACGCAAATGTAAGTCTTGGAGCCAAAATGGTTTCCACGAAACAAAATGAAGCCCCGTAAAACAAACATGAAACAAGTACATGTATAATCTGACTTTGTCGCCTTGCCGTATGCCGAATCTTCGATTGACGACGGCGTGTTCAGGAAGGTCCTCCTGCTTGATGGGTCCACATATCCAGCCATCTGCTTTCTCGTCCAAGGTCTTCCGGTATACTTCGGCATCAATCTCGCCGTCACCCCCACTTCTCATGCCGGCCAGTGTCGCGTCCCTGGATGCCTTGGCACCTTCTTTCAGTTCACCTACAGATTTGGTGGCTGGCTTGAAGGCCGATGTCATCGATGGGACTTGGCCCACAGGGCCCACAAGATCAACTCCCTTCAAGAGCTCATCGACCACTTCCATGTCGTCGTAGTTGTAGCGCTCCAAAAGGGTTTTCCAAAGAAGGATTCGTTTCCCTTGCAAAATGACTCTGGCATGATCTGGAAGGGCCGCGTGAATGTTCTGCTCTTCTTTCTGCAGATCTTTGGCAAGGGTGGACCATTCTGAGAGGGTCTGGAGCATGGTTTGGCACAGATGTTTTGGGGTGCTCCTCAAGTTCCACTTGATAGCTTCTTCAAGAGCACATGGCAGGACCGCGCTCCACTGGGATGGGTGACCAGCTTTCACCGCTTCTTCAACAAATTCTTCAGGGGTGTGATAAATCCCGAATGCCATGTCTATCTGAGGAGCGCTGTCAGCCATATCAGCTATATCCCCCCCATTTGTCCGGATAGGTGTTCGTCTCAAATATTTGGCGCCAGGGGGAAGGTCTTGCCAGCTGGTCTGCAGTGAACTCCCTGGCAGACAAGGGTCCGGGTCTTGCAGTGGCCGCTTGCGATGATGAATGAACTTGAATTCTGGCACTAATGGTGGCAGTTTGGATGCTCTGGGTTGGGTGGACGTGACTGCGCGCAAGTGTTGCAGAGTCGGACCCTCACTCAATTGCACCGCAGGTGGGAGCCAACCTTTGGAGACTGCTATTGCTGCGAAAACACCTGCAATCGCATAGGCCAGGTCAACAGGGTAGGCGGCTTCCTCCTTTGTGCTGAATTGCTTTGTCCATGTCGTAGCCCCATGGCTTGTGGATATGCTGCTTGGATTGACCTGGGCACGTTCTGCAGATGTTGAAAAAACCATCATGGTTGTGGAGCAAGGCGGTCCATTTCGGTCTCTGTCCACCGTATGCACAGGCTTGATGGGCCGTAAACTTGAGAAGTTTTGTCAGCGGCTGGGCAAAAGAGGTCAGCCAGTATAAGGAGCTTCTGGGGTTTTCTATACAAATGACCTTCCCGTGCTCCACACAGTAGAGTGCAATCTCCGTGAGGAATGCATACAGTGCGTTCGCAGCACCCACTCGGGCTTTTTGGCTCCCTGTTAATGTAGGTAATCCATCTGGATAAGATGAAGATCTCAATGGTTGAGGTCCAGAACGCCGCTTTGAGCCCGGCACATGAATGGGTATGTTGCGCGCAAGGCTACAGGTCCCGCATGGCGGTGCAGCGAATACTCCAAAGCATTGCTCCGCTTGCACCCACTGCCAGAAAAGCGACTGGCCGCTGCTCGTTGTCAAATCGGCCGTGATGACCTTTGCAACGTTACTGCTGAGAATGTGGTCCACTCCAAAGGAGGCCGTAAGTCCCAGAAAACGTAGGCAGGCTGTGACCCGAGCGGAACCCGCAAACATCTCAATAATGAAGGGCTGTGATGGGGCGGTAGGCTGAGGCTGCTTCAGCATGGTGTCATCTTTACATGCAGCAAAATTGTGTGGCTCTTCGGCCACTGGCACTGAATTGGAGTGCGGCGCTTCGGCCGATGTTTCATCATTGCAATGGGGCTTTGATTGTAGTCAATGCTTGCCATGGTTCTTCATGGAGTGGTTCCCAAAGCATTTTGCGCACACATGATGCCCCTTCGTGCACTTCGCCCCATCCGTAGCTCCGTCACAAGATCCAATGTTGTAGGAAAAACATATTGGCTCGCCTGAAGGGAGAGAAGCTTTGCCTCCTTGGTCACGGATTTGCTGTGGGATCCTGGGCTCCCATTTGGTTTTTCCTTTGCCTTTCCCTTTGGGCTTGTTGATGGATGGCTTCACAAACGGCTTGGGCCCCGCATGCGGCTTGGCCTTGGGAAAGGACGGCGATGGCTTGGTCTCAGTCTTCTGTGTGGATCTGCTCGGCAATGGCATGAGGATGAAGGAGACCTCGTAGCTTTTCAAGGCTTCATCCAGTTTGCTGTCAATGGGCTTTGTGCCATCGATTGCACGTCGAGGCTTAACATTGTCCTGGATGAGCTTCTTCCAAACTTCTTTGTCAGCATTCACCAGCTGGGACACATTGCATCGCGCAAACCCTGCTGGGGGCTCCCTGTGCAGGTGTGTGAACAATGTTTGTATGTACTTCTCATGGATGGCAAAGGAACAGATGTCCGCAAAGTCCAGCGCCAAACCCCTTCGGCGAAGGGCTTCTTGAACCTGGAGCGCTGATTGGGCAGCGATCTCCAAATCTCCCCCGCGCTCCTTCACAATGAGTTTCGATGCTTCCACTTCCAGAATTTTGTCGGGTTGTTTTGTAGACGTCAGCTCATGAAGTCGGCTGACGCATTTCTCAGGAGGGATGTAGGACACCTGGTTCTTCTCATGCATTTGAACTGTTTGGTCAAGGAGACCGTGTCCGGGTTCTGTCGCGCCTTCGATTACCTGGCCAGCAAGTCTCGTCTTCAAATTGTTCAGGCGCATTTCTCTTTCCGCCTGGGGGAGCTTCTTGGCGACGAAGTTGTCAGGTTGTGTGACTTGCTCTTTCAGGAGCGCCAGGAGTTGCGTTTGAGATTCGAAAAGCAGCCGCTTAAGGGTGGCCACAGCTCCTACTGTCACATTCGGATCAATTGTTTTGACCCAGGTGGCAAATTTCACATCATCAATTGTCTGTCCCGGCTGTCCGAAGGAGTAAGCAAGTGTAGAAATGGTGGTGATACCTGCTGTTTCCAAGGCAGTTTTCAGGGTGGCAGGGACCTTGCAATCTGACAACCTTTGCTCAAACTGTGCAGTGCTATCAGCGAACGAGGACATGATCGTCGCAGGCAGCGTTCAAAAGAAGGGTCTTGAGTTAGATTCAACATGACACTTGTCAGCCTGAAACTGAGTACAGGAAACGTTTGGTTTGAAAAATGCACAAAACAGGCCATGTTAATGGTTCAGGAGGGATTCCCTGGAAAAGGAAAGGCAATGATAAAACACTCTTCATGCTTTGCGAATTCTGGAGCCAGTCGGCGTACATTAGATAACATGCCACGCACTTTGTCCCATGGACTTTGCACGAACTTCACTGCATGAGCTTCACCGCTGCAGCGTTTCAACACGTGACATGCGCATCAACCGCTCCTTTTTCACATCTTCCTGGCACACATCTTGCAGATAACATTCCAGGCACTCGATTCGGTTGACCTGCTATATGCATCTGTCAGCCTCTTGCCACAGCTCAGGAACCTAATGTTCCAACTCTCGTCACCCTGTTCATGCCTGTGGAGGATGTGGCTTTTCCTGTGCACGTACCATAGCTCATCGGCTGGTACCTTTGGCCTGAAACGCCTGACTTTCGTGGGCGGCTCCTCAATCGCACTGGAGGCGGAGCTTTCAGCGTCACTTGACGACGACGAATCGGATTCATCCGAGCTGACAATAATCTCTTCCTCCACGATCTCACATGGGTAATCTTCTTGCTTGCATTCAATTTCGACCGGGCCCAATTCACCTTGGCTCATGACATGCCTCTGGATGGGCGGTGCCGGAGGAAATGTCGGAAAGAAATCTCTTCCCGGCGCATCTGGCAAGAACCTGCCCTCAGCGATCTCCACGATCACGGACTGGAGCTCTCGGGTCGGAGCAACTGTCAAATCCCTGCTATAGATGGTATAGGTGTCGACCAGGGCACCAGAATGCCTACCCAGTATCGACCTCGTCGTTCCTGATAGGCCATATTTTGCACACCAGGACAGCGTGGTCGATTTCAATGAGTGCGACGAGATTTCAAGTCTGCCATCACCATTGAGCTGATCGAGCGAGTGCGTGACCGCTCTAAGCATGCCTGTGGTCTCCGAGGATGTCAGGCCTCTTTGTAACAGCGACCCCGGCTCTCGATCAGGTGCTGGCAACAAAGGACCTTCGTGAATGTTATCCACGGGGGCTCCGACAGATTCAAGGGCTTTGCATGCCAGAGCCAGCCATTGTTCTCCATTGACGCCGATGCCAGGGATCAAAATTGGCAGAAGTTTGGACTTTTTCTCTGCACTGCGTCCAGTCTTGTGGTTCGATGTTGTGATCTCCAGAAAGCTGCAACCTTGGCCAACATCAAGCTTCACCGAATGAATGCACTGCAGGTCCGAATGACGACATCTCCCATAAAGTGCGATCAAGCAATAAGCGCTGAAGGCACGGTCGTATGGATGTTTGTTAACATCATTGAGCGCCTTGTGGATGAGGAGGACTTGATTGACCGTGAGGGGCGCTGCTTGTTTGAGCAAGGGCTTGCCTGCAAGTAGAATCTCTGCCAGCCCCGTGAGCCTCCTGCTGCTCAGGCAGGGAACGAGGGTTTCCATTCCCAGGACATGCACTCCAAATCTAATGGCTGAGAGGCAGGAAGACGCCCTTGTTGCTGCCGCACCCACCTCCTTGAGCCATGAGAAATATGCCCAAACATGTTGCTCCTCAAAGGGGTTCACTTCATTGGCAAGTTGCCTCGCCGCCCACCGAAGGTAGCTCAAAAGGGAGTTAGCTCTTTTCACCACTGTAGCTGGCGACTTGACTCCGACAATGGCGGTCAGGATCTTGACTGCTTCATCCTCGGAATCTCCACCTTTGGAGGCCAAAATTTGTCTCCCCGCGACTGAGGCCAGCATGCAATGCCTGAGCACTATCAACAGTTTCTTGATGGCCGCGTCCATGAGGGATGTGCGTTTGGCTGCATAGTCCTTGTCCGTGATGCTCTTCACGAATGCTGGGTAAATTGCACTCTCTCCTGCTGCCATATGAGGTTGGGCAGCCTCAGAGACTTCGGCCCTGCAAGCTTCAAGAGCCATTGCCAGGTCATTGTGCTGGCCTTGATTTGATATCTCAATCTTTGGCACTATATCCGGCAATCCATCACCATCATTGAGCAGTTCTGCGAAGATTCCTTGTTCCCACGGAAGTTTCGTGCTGACGAGATCGACGTTTGTGAGCAACGAATGTGCAAACCATGCAGCGTGATCTCCACTAGATAACAAATTGCAACTCGTATCACTGCCTGTATCCTGTAATGAAGCGCCGGCGGATGATGCCATCTCACCTGCAGTGGACAAGGGTTCATGTCCAAAACCTTCAAAGTCTTCGTGAAGTTCAGCGTCACTCAAAATGTCCTGTCTGCCAAACGATTCAGTTGTGTCCAGAGTTTGTGAACTGTGCACTGGGAGCGCTGCATCACTGGGTGTGATGTCAGGAGAGCCATGGGACCCCCGTTTGACCGTCAT